CTCAGGTGCTGCCTACGAAGGGCTGTTGACAGCGTCCTTGGCTCGCAGTATAAAAATCAAGGAAGAAGGAGTGATTCATCGAAGTTAGGCGGGAGGAAGTGCTCTACCCAGGGGCTCCATATGCGTAAAAATTTAATAATCTTGTCTAGAATTGTGGCTTCCACCTTTGCATGTATCATGGCTTGTGTTATTCTGGTTTTGACGGCTGCAACACTTAGGGTGGGGGATTTCCAGGATTTTGCTATAACTTGTTTAGCTGCCGTCGTAACTTGCATGAGGAGCTTGAATTGTGAAATTGAAACTCCAGGAGGGCATAAATACATTTTAACCAAAGCCATATTTAAATCTGAGGTGCCATTAGTAATGTCTGGGGTTTTTAAAAGAAAAGGGGCTTTATGGAGACTTAAACATTTAATATTTTTAAGACTGTACTGTTTATCTCCAAGGGGGAGACCTTGCAGTGTAATGAGCCCCGATTGGCTACTCGTCAAGGAAGGGGAGTGTCCTGCTTATCCTTTATCCCTTTCGCTGCCAGAGCTGTTTTTGCGATTTGCACACATTTAAAAAATCATTTAAGGCCTGAAGTTTACACAAAACATTATTTTCTGAAAGCAGACACCCTAGAAAATAAAATAGCTGTAGTTCCAATTTTTTATGTCATGCGATATTATCACAGAGGTGTAGGAAACACAAAATTTCAGTAAAATAAAGTTAGTTTTAGGGCACAAAAAAAGCAATAAATTATCCAATTTTTTGTAAAATATAAAAGATGATCAAGTAAATAGATATCCAACATGTCAAACCTTAAATTTGTGTGCGCTTATGAAATGGCAACAAACTTTAGTACCCTATATTTTTATAGCTGACTCTTTTAAAGCCCCTTATAGGTCATTAGATCAGCGTTACGGTGGAGGTCTGGGGCTAGAATTATTACTCTCATTTTGGCATGTACGGGGATATGTAACATATCACAATTGACGTTTTCATATGTAGGCACCCCAGTGCATGCTTTTACATTTGTACATGTAAATATGTGGGGGTGGGGTGGCCTTGAAAAATTTTGGAGGGGTTATATGTTTGGGTGTAACTTTTTTTTTAATTTTTCACTTAACTTTTTTTTTTTAATCACATAGCGGACAAAAAGTCCCCTATGTGATGATTTTTGGTGACTGGTTCTCTTTTTGGAGACATCAAGGGTCTAAAACACCCTGCATGTCTCCCCTGAATATAATGTAGTGCACATTGCACCGCATTACATTCTTTCCTGGCCTCGATGGCCGGGGATCTGTCAATGGGGAAGTAATGTGACCCCAATGGGGACCATGGGGTCACAACACTTCCGAATCAGGACAAGAAGGGGAGGAGAGTGGATGTGTCCGGAGGAGCGGAGGTGTTGAATGAACATCTGGAAGTTCCAGTTCTGCAAGACATAACGTATTCGCCTATGACATGAAATAGAAAAAATATGAAGCAAGAGGTACCAGAGAGTCAGAGGATCAAAGGCACCACATCCCACTAAGAATATATATTTGTTATATAGGTGTCACAACACAAGACTCATACACATGTTATTTCATAAAACATTTGACAGTAATTTTATTACAAAAATAGTAGCCTCACTAGCTGTCTGATTATGTCCATATTTCTGTGCTCAAAGCGGTAAATTTTTTTGCATGGAAATATGTATTTTTTTTTATTGTAGGTCTGTAATTTTTAGGAATAACTCACTGAAATCTGTCTGAACAAGAGTCTAGTAAACATCCCAGGTATGTTAAAATTTGAAACATGAAATCATAAATTATAATTTAATAAATAAACATAAAAAATAATAAGATTGATAGCAGATATACCACAAAGCCAGTATTTACCAGATACTCCTTTAACCTCCTTGGCGGTATTCCCGAGTGTAGCTCGGGGTAACATTTCAGTACCAAGAGCGGTAACCCCGAGCTACACTCGGGAATACCATGCGGCACTGCTCCGGCATTTGTTCTTCACTTACCTTACCCTGCGCTCCCACGATGTGTGTCCCTGCAGCATCCCCGGCCATCTCCTCCGGCCGATGCCAGCATCCGGCTTCTGTGTCCTGTCCCTGTGGGACGTACGGGCGGCGGCGGCGGGGGAAATTTAAAAATTTTAAATAATGTCATTTTTTTTTTTTTACATTTTACATAGTAAAACATTGCTGCCTCAACCAATTTCACATACATTTTGTCCCTAGTGCTTTTGTCCTGCGCCCTGCCTGCATTTTGTCGGTTCTTTCTGCCTGGAAACTGAGAAACGTCCATGGCGTCCAAAAAGTGTCCCTTTAGGTCAAAAGCGGTTTAGATCAGCTAGAGAACAGCGATAGTAAATCAGAACCACTTGCAGAATTGAGTGATAATGATTGGTGGGGGAAATTCGTCATCAGACACTGAAAACAATTCTGCGACTTTGCTCAGCGATGTGCGAACTTGGCGCTATATTTCAAATTTCAGTGTTTTTGGTTTGATTATATTATTGAATTAAATGTATTAATATTATATTATTATTTTTTTATGATTATTTATTAAATTATAATTTATGATTTTGTGTTTAAAATTTTATCATCCCCGGGATGTTTAATAGACTCTTGTTCAGACAGATTTCAGTGAGTTATTCCTAAATATTACAGCCTACAATAAAAAAATTACATATTTCCATGCAAAATAATGGTACCGCTTTCAGCACCAAAAATCGTAAATAATCATACCGCCAGGGAGGTTAATGTTGTTGTAATCCTCTTGGCAGCCTCCCAGACCAGTTTTCTTCTCGTCTTTTTATCAATTTTGGAGAGATGTCCAGTTTTTGGACTTCACTGTTGCAAAATATTTTCTCCACTTGATGATGACTGTCTTCACTGTGTTCCATGGTATATCTAATGCCTTGGAAATACTTTTGTACCCTTCTCCTGACTGATACCTTTTAACAATGAGATCTCTCTGATGCTTTGGAAGCTCTCTGTAGACCTTGGCTTTTGCTGTAGGATGCAACTAAGATAATGTCAGGAAAGATCCTACTAGAACAGTTGAACTTTATTTGGGGTTAAGCAGAGGTGATTTAAATAAAGACAGGTGTTTACTGACTCCTATTTAAAATGATTTTGAATGTGATTGCTTAATTCTGAATACAGCTACATCCCCAGTTATAAGAGATTGTCCACACTTATGCAACCACATTACTGTAGTTTTTTATGTTTACTTCCCCCCCTAAAATATTTCAGTTTGTTTTTTCAATTGAGTTGTACAGTTTATAGGTCACATTAAAGGTGGAAAAAGTTCTGAAATGATTTTTATCTTTGTCTCATTTTTTTACATCACAGAAACCTGAGATTTTAACAGGGGTGTGTAGACTTTTCATATCCACTGTACTTCCTAGTGTTTACAAAAGACAAATAAAACCAAAGCACATATTTTACATGGGTGGTAGGCTCTCACAATGGTGTCCTATGAGGCCATGACCCCTAAAGATACAGTATATACACAGTAGACTTAACTTCATATTGCTGGGCAAATTTTCATTTGAAGAAAACTTTGCAACAGATTAGAGATTCAATAAATAGATCCAATAAATAGAGATTAGACTAGCAATAAAAATGAGCTAGTGTAAGCATTACACACACAGGAATTTAAAGCCCAATTAAAGTCTCATACCTTTTTTTCTCTTTATAGCCCTTTACTGCCATGTGTTATGATTTTTAACTACGTTTCACTAAGAAATGCCTTAAAATACCTTTTCCTCTAACTGGAAGTGTGTTTCCTGTCCTCCCACGTCTGTGTGCTTTATATTTTCATAGATGAGTAATGGCTCCAGGCCTTATCACAGGTGTCCTCATATACACTTGCATTGCAAAGAAAGAGGGAGGTATGTCTGACAATTATGTGCACTGGATAGTATGAGCAAGTAGTCTTTTTGAACTATACAGTCATATTTAGACTGTGAGACTGCTATATCAGGAAAGTAGAGGTAAAAGTATTAAAATAGTCTAATAGTATAATGTCTACAATGACTTCAACTGGAGTCTAAAGAGGGCCATCCTTGTAAGCTGCAACATGCACACATACCAGGGGCAGACTGACCTTTTGGAAACTCGGGCACTGCCCGAGGGCCTGGGGTCAGTAGGGGGCCCCATGAGATGCCCCTGGTACCTTTTTCATAGGCTTTTTTGAGTTTGGGCAAGGACACAGGGGCCCATGATCCCCTATTGCCCAGGGGCCCCATGAGTTGTCAGTCCACCCCTGACACATACAGTACCTGAAAACTTTAAAACTTGAGAAAGAGAGACAGTTAGAGAAGGATAAGACATGCAGAGCATTTTGTGGGGAAAAAGGTGTGGCTAAAGTGTGCTGAATATTGGATGTATTTAAAAGAGCATGCCTACATACAGCCTAAAGCTGGCCATTCAATAACAAGGAGAATTCTTCTTTGTCGGAACATTGTATTGTGATAGCTACACCCATCTATGTCAGAATGCAAAGATCAGCGGACGCTGATCAAGAACATTTTTCTAACATGCCCCTTCAGCAAAAGTTAATCAAAAAAGTGGGGAATGGTACACATTGAAAGAATTGCAGTCAGTCTCTGCTGAACCGGATGAATTTTGGTCATTGTATGGCCAACTTAAGACATACTGTATAGACTGTACATAGCTTGAGGTCCTTGTACTCACATCATATTCTATAATTATTGTGTTAGGAGCGAGAGTTTCACTTACATAAACCTTTAGAAGCCCAAAAAATATATTAATAAATGAAAAAAAAGATCTACATAGATAGCTCACACTTTGTCTAAGCCTTCCTTAACCACCTTCTGCCCGCCATATAGTACAAAGACGGGCGCAAGGTGGTTCTCTCGTTCTGATAGGACGTCCTTCCATTCTCACCGCTCATGCACGGCTCAGTGAACGCGCAGCACGGCGATCGCCAGTGCGCTGTGTCCCTTTGACACAGCGGATCACAGAAAGAGCCAAAGATGTTGGCTTGGCCATGTGATCAGCTGCGTCCAATCACAGCTGATCACATGTAAACATGGAAATGCTGGTTATCAGCATTTCTCTCCTCTCGAGCTGTCACGCTGACAGCTCGAGAGGAGAGGAGAGCCGGTAATCGGCTTTCCGCAGAGGGGACATGTACACTGATCATCAGGGCACTGATGATCAGTGTGCCCTGATAATCAGTGTGGCCCCAGAAGTGCTACCTGTCAGTGTCCATCAGTGCCAGCAGTCAGTGCTCATCAGTGCCACGTGCCAGTGCCCATCAGTGCCACATCAATGCCACATATCAGTGCATACCAGTGCACATCAATGCCACATATCAGTGCCCACCTGAGCTGCCTTTCAATGTCACCCATCAATGCCAGTCAGTGCCACCTATCAATGCCAATCAGTGCCACCTATCAGTGCTGCCAATCAGTGCCACTTATCAGTGCCAGTCAGTGCCACCTATCAGTGCGCATCGATGCCGCCTATCAGTGCCAGTCAGTGCTGCCTTTCAGTGCCAGTCAGTGCCGCCTATCAGTGCTAGTCAGTGCCTGCCGCCTAACAGTGCCAGTCAGTGCTGCCTAAAAGTGCCAGTCAGTGCCGCCTATTAGTACCAGTCAGTGCTGCCTATCAGTGCCGCCTATCAGCGCCATGTATCAGTGTCATGTATCAGTGCTGCCTTTCAGTGCCTATCAGTGATGCCTGTCAATGCCCAGCAGTGCAACCTACCAGTGCCTCCTCATCAGTGCCCATCAGTGCCACCTATCAGTGTCCATCATTGTAGCCTATCAGTGCCCATCACTACAGCCTCATTAGCGCGCATCAGCGAAGGAGAAAAATCACTTATTTACAAAATTGTATAACAAAAACTAAGAAAAAATGTTTTTTTTTCAAAATTTTCTGTGGTTTGTGCTTTGTTTAATAAAAAATAAAAATCCCAGAGGTGATTAAATACCACCAAAAGAAAGCTCTATCTGTCTCAAAAAATGATAAAAATTTCATATGGGTACAGTGTTGCATGACCGCGCAATTGTCATTCAAAGTGTGACAGCGCTGAAAGCTGGAAATTGGCCTGGGCAGGAAGGGGGTATAAGTGCCCTGTAGGCTAGTGGTTAAAAAAGACTTCATAACTAAAAAACAAAATTTGCACGCTACACAACACTGAACAGCTGTTGAGGAAAAAAAAACACTTTAGTCAGAATTTGTATTTGCAATACACAAAACAGCATATTTGCAGGGTGCAGGAGTCTGGTCTGTGTGCAGCAACAAGGAGTCTGTATTATAGATCCCTTTACATTGCTGGTTACTGGAAGGAAAAAAAATGCTCCAGGGTCAGTTGTTGGGGGGAAAAAAAGGTTGTAGAGAGGTTAATGCCCTGGAATCAATGGTCCCTGGGAAGTAATGATTGCCCCAGGGTCAGTGGGAGAAAAAATGCCTAGTGCCCATGTTCATGGGAGGAAGAATGCCATGACATCAGTGGTTAATGGGGAGGGGGGAGAAAAAAAGATGTATTTGTATCAAAGGGAAATGGGGTGAACAATAGTGCCCAGTGGCGGTTGGAGAAAGTAATAATGCCCAATATGGGGTGGGGAAGAGCACTAATGCCCATCAGTGGGAGAGAACAAAAGTGTCAGTAGGAGGTGAAAAGGAACAATAGTACCTGTTGAGGGGAAGAGGAGAAATAATAGTACCCAGTGGGGGATAAGAAAAAACAATAATGCCCAGAGGGGGTGAGGAGGCAATAATGCTCGATGAAGGTGTGGAGTAAAATTGGTGTCAAAAGAAAACCACTTGCACTGAAGTCTGTGTCCCATGCAGGGGCAGACTGACAACTCATGGGGCCCCCGGGCAATAGGGGATCATGGGGCCCCTGTGTCCTTGGCCAAACTCAAAAAGCCTATGAAAAAGGTACCAGGGGCATCTCATGGGGCCCCCTACTGACCCCGGGCCCTCGGGCAGTGCCTGAGTTCCCAAATGGTCAGTCCGCCCCTGGTCCCATGCTTTCCTTTCTCCCTCCTCCTTCTTCTGTAACTTCTCCCACTAATCCAGGAACATTTGGAACAGAGAGCTCTAAGCTAGTTGTAGCATATACAACTCTGCCCAGTGCAGTGGGTGGAGCTTAAACAGCAGGGACCTGCCGCTGTGATTAGACAGCAAAGTGAGGCAATGTAGGTCATAGCCCCTCTACACAGGACCATGGGGATAAGCTAACAATATAGGATAGTCCTGTTGAGAGGTATGCATACAAATGTGCACATGCACATACACGCTTTTGTGCTATAGTTGCCTGGAATTTTCTACTGGGCTGAGTATACTATTTTATTAGTGTGCTATGAAATTCTTTTTAGTTATGCTTTTGTTCTCTACTCCAGCTAGTGAAAAGTCATTGCTTTTTTCCACAATTACTTTTCACTAATTTAACATAATACCTTCTGCTAAACTAACTGAATGTGGTATAATTAGACCACCACAGGAGATTGAATGTTCTTAGGTATGACAGTTTCTTTTGACTAAAAGTTCAGAAGGCATGTTGCAGCTTTGCTTTGCAAGTACATTTTATATGTGCTAAGAGCGTTTTAAATAAGAAGTTCACATACAGCAGCATCTTGCAAACAACACTTTATTTCTGCCTAGAAGCAGCTGGTCTACTCTACTGAAGTTAAGTTTGACCTTTTGCTTAACTCTAAATTTAATGTTATGTTCATAAATGTAATGAATCACAAAATATGTTGATTTTCATTGGGGAATGTTGATTATACAGCATTAATAATATAAAAGTTTTATATTTTCTGCTAATATAATTAGCTGCACTAATGTATAGTAATGTGACTTATTTAACTGCAAGTCTTCTAGATTTCATCTAGATATTTTCACTTGGCAAATATATCACAACCAAGAGCTGGTTCTGGTCAGCTCAGTAGTTTGTTTTAAGAAAGGCCTGGATTATTTCCTAAATGTGCATAATATGACTGGATACTAATATGTATAGGTAAATTCAATCCAAGGAATATCCCACTGTCTCTTGGGGGATCAGGAAAGATTTTTTTAACCCACTGGGAAAATTGAATCATGCTTTATTGTTTTATGTTTTGCCTTCATCTGGATCATCTGTTGATATTGTATTGTAGTGATGGTCCGAACACTCCCTGTTCAAACCTAATGAATGTTTGACTGCAAACTTCGAACTCAACTCAAGTGTATGGGACTCGAACTTGTAAATTCAAAAGTACCCATTTTGAAGACTTATATGCAAGTTATTGCCCATAAAAGGGGTATGGGGACTAGGGTACTGCCCCCGAGCGACATGAATTAGTGAAAAAAAAAAAATTCAAGAAGTGCTGTTTTTAAAAGGACAGTCATTTTTCATTGCTTAAAGTAAAAATAAAAAATTCCTTTAAATATCATGCCTGGGGGGGTCCCCTTAAACTACCTGCAAAGTTGCACATCTGTGCATGTATAGAACCTTCTTTTTTAAAAATGTGAAAAAAAAAATGTAAAACATTTAAATTACATGCACCTGTCAAACACTGTAACCCCTTACAGTTACTCTTGGTGAGCGCAGAAATGGGCCCTGCTGTTAAAAATTGTTACAAATTAAAAAAAAAAATTAAAAATTAATGTACTTGTTAAACAGGTGCAGAAAAATTGGAGCTTGGGTGTTGGTAGTTTCCGGAACACTCTAACCCCTCACAGTTACTTTTGCTAAGCGCAGGAATGGGCCCTGCTGTTAAAAATTAGAAAAAAGTTGTAAAAAATGTAAATCACATGCACCTGTCAAACAGGTGAAGAAAAGTGGGGCCTAGGGTATTGGTGGTACCGTAAACCAAAAACATTGTTGGAAGCTAGAATAATTAGGAATAGGGTAGGCAGCATAGGCAGTCTTCAAGGGATCCCAGATCTGTAACAAATTCAGTCAGTTTCATTAGCTTCAGGGTCTTGATAGCTGCTGTTGATCCAGAATTGATTAATTTTGATAAATGTCAGCCAATCAATGGAGTCTGTGGACAGTTGCACTCTTTTGTCACAAAACTTCCAGCAGCACTGAATGTCCATTTGGAAAACATGCTGGATGCCGGACAGGACAGTAGTTCGTTTGCATATTGAGCAAATTCTGGCCAGTGATCCTCCTTCAAGACCCAGTAACTCAGTGGATTCTCAGTTGAAAAGGTCTCCAAGTCTACTCTTTCCCCTAGATAATCTTGCACAATATGCTGCAGATGCTGCTGATGGGTGCTTAAACCTAACAGCCCTGGGCGCTGATGACTAAAGAATTATTTAAAGGCATCAGCCAGCCATCCGCCTTCTCCACCACTCTTCCTTTGACCAAATGAAGCCTTAGACATATGTTGTCCAGGAAATAGTAACCTCCCAGTGTCTTGAAAGGTGTTACACAAATTTTTCTTCAAGGCATCCTCAAGATGTCTCATCCTGTGCTTTGTCTGCCAAGGCAGAATCAGCTCTGCAACTTTACTCTTGTAACGTGGATCAAGAAGGGTTGCCAACCAGTAATGATCCCTTTCTTTGATACTACAAATCCTTGCGCAGGCATTGCAGAATCAGAGAGCCCATGCAGCACAAGTTTGAGGAGACATGAGATTCTGAGTCCTCTGGTCACTGAGGATGACACTGTCAGGAACTACCTCCTCCCAGCCACGTACTACTCCTGGTTGGGTTTCTGGTGACTGAAAATCATCCCTTGAAGTCTGCCATATGTTATCCTCTACTTCCATGCTACCACAGTCCTCCTTCTCCTCCTGTGTGCTCTGCAGCCCCCTCAGGAATGGTATCTGCATAAAGGGGGCCTTGAGAGGAAAGGATAGTCATTCTCTTCCTTCCGCTGTTCTGCCCCAAGTGCCCTGTCCAGCAGGAAGACTAGAGGGATAGTGTCACTGCTGCATGCATTGTCAGGGCTCACCATCCTTGTGGCATCCTCAAATGGTGACAAGACAGTGCATGCATCCTTTATCAGCAGCCACTGGCATGGCGAAATAGGCCAAACTCCCCTGAGCCTGTCTTTGTGCCATACTCACACAAGTACTCATTGATGGCCCACTGCTGTGTGCACAGCTACTGCAGCATTGCCAATGTTGAGTTCCACCTGGTGGGCATGTCACAAATGAGGCGTTTGGTGGGCAGGCTGAATTCCCATTGAAATCCAGCCAGCTAAACACTGGCTGTGTATGACCGCTAGAAATGGTGACATATTTGTCTGGACTGCCTCAGAAGATCTTGAAAGCCTGGGTACCTGTTCAAGAAATGCTGCACCATCAAATTCAGGATGTATGCCAAGCATGGAACATGTGTCCCTGTCAGAGGGTGGAGAGAAGGTTGATGCCATTGTCACATACAACCATTCCTCAAGCTGTCACAGCATCAACCACCTCTGAGCCTGCCTATGCAAGGCTGACAGAATCTCTCTG